GAACTCGACTGCGGGGACGACCTACCACGAGCCTTGGCCACCGGCTGTGAAAGACGGCGATCAGGTTTACGATCGGATCGGGGCCTGGAAACCTGAGAGACAGCATGACTAAACTGCGCGGTCGACCTCTGGTGGACGGAGTACGAGCTACAGCCGGGATAGAGTTGCTGGATTCTATTGGCATGCTCAGCGAGTTTGCCAAGCGGGACGCTGTCATCAGGCAGTGCCAGGACCTGTTGCATGGGATGTGGCATCTTGTCCATCCAGATGTGGCGGAATATAGCGTCATTTAACGTGCAACCGGCTAGCAAGTGACGCATATTTTGCATGAGAGCAGAGGGTGTCTGATCACCGAGCTCCACATTGTTAAGGAGCTGGTTTAGTTTTCTATCGACAGATTGTGCCGTGCGGTGACGCATAGCCTCCTTCAATCTAGCATAAGGCTTATCTTTAGGAATAGGGTCAAGAAGATCTTGGATTGCGTAGGCGACATCAAATAGTAACGACTGCACTAAGTACCCATAACGCATATGCTCGCTAACAATACTGCGTGTTTTAAAAACGGCTTCTACCTGCTTAAACCACACAGTAGGATCGCAAACTTCATAAATTGGCAACTAAATGGAAATTTGAAAAGCATAGCGTTCCTCCTTATCGTCTGATTCACAGGACATGTAGGAAACAGTGTCGCCTGAGACGACTTCATAAAGAGACTGGTCTTGAGGTGACATATTGAAAAGGATGTGAACGCGACAAAAATGGAACGCGAAGAACAGTTGCGTGGAGTTAGTTGAAAAACGTGGATAACAGCAAAAATGGGGTCACCACTTTGTAGTGGCTAGGCCTACAACACGTATAAAACCGTATTAGAAGAGAAGCAATAAAAACTTGCTAGTGTAGAGGTTACTTGCAGTAAGTAAACTACCGCACTACGCTAGTGGAAAAAGTAAAAAATATAAAAAATGACAATAAAAGTAAACGATATGACTCAGTAAATCCCCACGATCCTTGGCTGCAGTAGTCAGAGAATTGACTTGCCAAAGAATGGATTTATAACGTTGGGATCTCAGTTCGTCCATCCAAAGTCGGAATAGTTGCAAGGAAATCTCGTGTTCGAATCACCGTCAGTTGATCCTGAGTCCAGAAATGATCACCAGAGAATGGTGTCGTTGACTGGCGAGGATAGAAGAGACCGGTGAGATGGTATGCAGCAGGGAGTGCAGGAGAATAAGCAGGAATGCTCAAAACACAACACGTGCAGTGATAGCCGGAAATGGGTGCATTTCGGAGCAGTTCGGCGAAAGCGAAAGTGCGTAGGATTTAAACAAAAAACGTTTCTGACTGAAAGGTACGAGGATAGGAAAAGGATCTAGAGGGGTTAACTTTCCTGACATCTTGCTCAAATGAGCGTGTTTGAACCCAGCTCTGAACGAATATTTGGATAATTCTGAAGATAATGTTTGCATATTAGTTTATTGACGGTTATCCTTGCGATCTTCCCCACATGATCAGAAGCATTATATTCTAACACGGACGTCAACCCTTCAAATTCCAATCGTGGAAGCCAATTTGTTCCGCACCCATTGGTTGTGAACAGTTGAGTTTCACATAACCGTGCGACTGATGCGAGGTAACGTCACAAATATGAATAGTATTATCATATGTAAATTTGGCTTTTACAAATTCGCTTCAACCAGGGTCCCCGACTGGTTATTAATCTCAAATTTAGAAATGTGTTGAAGCGTTTTAATGAAAAAAATTGAGGTCATTTATACCACAGCGCCGATATAAATTACGCATAGGATGGCCATCACGGAAAGAGGGAATCATGATCTTCAAATTAAGGCAAAAAGGAAAGCAGATATTTCTCAAGATCCTCTTGAAAAGCTTCGTCTGCAATGCTTATCTCGCGGCGCTTCTGGGATATTGGGACTTGGAAGGTTATATTATTCATTAATGCACATTATATTGTGCATGTATATAATATATTATTTACATATATTATATATATAATATATATATATTATTTACATATATCTCGTAACGGTACTGCAACGCCTGTTATATGTGGGTGATCGAACGTCAGGAGAATATGCTTTTATGTTTTTTGCAATGCTCTTGTCCGTAAACTATGAAATATATCGCGTTAATTCAATCGCTTTTATTGATTGTATTATGTCACCTGATAGAAAAACGCTAGCGCCGCGCGAAGTCGCCTAGCGCCGTCTCGCTATTCTGTCCCTGCGTTGCGCGCACGCATAGATGTGCTCCCAGGCGACATGAGAGAAGCGTTCTAGTCGGCGTCACCCCCTGTGACAAGGAGGATACCATCCCCCCTCTAACTGGCGCAGGCATCCCGCGATCGAATTCTGGGCCAATTTCGATCTAGTCTATGCAGACAAAAGCTTGACACCCTGTGACGAGTGCAAGTGGGGGGGGCTAATCACGTGCAGGCAGAGTAGCGCCACGGCGCTAGCGTTTTTCTATTAGGATCTTTCTAAAAAATTGATTACTTGGACACTTTGAGGAAAATATTACCGATATTGGTTTGGATTCCCGATTTCCAAGCTGTCATTGATTGTTAGAATTTTATTATGCTTTATAACATCCTTTTTTATTTGTAATGTTCTCGATACTTATTAAACAGATCACTGATCTAGGTAGGAAATAGAAAACGCTCACTGCGTCCCCACCGTCTAGCATTATTAATAATTGCAATGACATTGACTTAATCAGACATCTTTTGGAAAAGGTTGGAGATAAACACAAGCAACCCTGTTTATTCAACGAGTCGTGATTCGTTATACCGCTAATAATATCAGCAGAATTACGTGTGCAATGGTCGGCCGATTTAAAATTATAGTTCCTACAATAGATTTTAAAAGCGGACAAAAGTCTGATGGTATGGTTGAAACGAATGCTGCTGTTAAGCGAAATGGTTGCATCCAAAGCTACCAACTGTTTTGGCCTTCGGTATTATTTTGCAAAGGAGCTACATTTGATTATTACTCTCCGTCCAGGATCCGGAGATTTGTGCAGAAACGGCTCTTCAGCAGAAACCAAATGATTAGACAGAATATAAGTAATTCTTCGACAGCACTGCCGATACGCCCGCAGCACATGCGCCTTATTCTCGGGCTGCAAACGCAAGATATTTTTTAAGATACGTTTTTTACTACATCCGTCATAAATGTGTTCTGCATTTGGTAAACGAACTTACCCAAACATATTCAAGTTAACCTTTTTCCGCAAGTATACATATTTTTATTTAAATGCCAATTAAGCACAAGCCAGATAACTTCCAATTCTAGTCTTTATGAGATCGTTATACATACTTGATACCGTTCTTGGAAATCACTTCAGTTTAAACGTTGAATTTTTGTTCCTTATGAGTCCTATTAGTGAAACGTAGACGTGATTCACTGTTTTTTACCTTCCTTCTTTAGACAATTTAGAATAATTGATGACGACGGAGATCGGTATCTCGACTTCAAAGAATTTATGAAGGGTTGTCGCGACTTTGGTGCCGACCTAACAAAAGAAGAAATGGAAAACATTTTCCATCGAATTGATAGAGACGGAAGTGGTCATCTTGATTTTGATGAATTTCTCAATGCTCTCCGTGTAGGTAGTGTTTTTGCTTATCTTTCTAAATAAATTAGCCCCCAATGCCGAAATGCCGGATAGAGCTAATAAACAAAGCATTCATGAAAATGGACAGAACTAACGACGGCTACATAACCGTAAGCGTTCGCCTTCTTCATTTTTGTAAAGTAGACCAAAGATCAACGAATGTTTTTGTTTAATATGTGAGGTGGCATGGTTCATAAATTAGCTTTTATTTTTAGGTATTATGATACATCGATAGATAAATTCATTTTTAGTAAATAGATCACTTTTTTATTTGCTAAGACCTGCCTATTCTTGACTTAGGCGGAGGACCTAAAGGGTGTTTATAACTGCACCTATCATCCGAAATACAAAAACGGCGAGTGGACGGAGGAACAAGTTTTCCAAGAATTCCTCAAAAAGTTCGAAGCTCCCAATGAAATTGATGGAAAGGTGGGCCACCTTTCTGAAAATGTTGTTGTCCATGTAGCCATCTTCTGAGCCTCTTTAGTCCAAATGATGTTCTTTACTGTAATTCATTAAACAAGGTTGAAGATTGAAAGTTACAATAGAGGCTTGAACAAAACGATTCCTGCTAAACGATCAGTGAGTGTTTATCAACGAATATTTTCATATTTATGTGTTACACACATGAATAATCCAGTCTCATAAAAGGCGCAGAGAAATAATAGTGAATTGTGCATAGTGGCAATAATAAAAGTTATTTAATAATAATCCAGACGTTTAGGAGGCCATTTTGGGCAAGTTAATTATTTTGATTATTTTACTACAGATATATGGGTGAGAGTAGAATAGTAAAATTTTAGACAGTCCATGAGGACTAAGAGAAAGAGAGAACAAAAAAAGTTCAGGAATACAAGATCTTTTATATGTCTTTGCGCTGTAGTTCGCAGTGGCAGAAGTTGAAGCAGGGGAACCTTAGGAATTTATAAACGCAAATCCATGGCTGCGACCCGAGGATATTAGATTAGAATTGATGGAAGACACTGTTTGGCCAAAAGTTAGAAACTGTAAAGCTATACGCGACGCTCAAGTTCTTGCCAATACAAGTGAAAATTCGAGTCCCAAAAAGTAATTGAGAAGAAAAATACGTGATCGCTGGGACGAGACTTTATCGCCTAGCGGATCCTTTATCAGAGGAAGAGACAACAACAGAAATGGGTAATTCCTGCACAGGGAATACAAGAGAGTACATAGAATACAGTCATTATGCTCTTACACAATTATAACGCTTAACGAAACATCTATCAAGGATAGTTTATAGCTTGTGTGCTATTTGCTTGGTGGCAAGCGTATGGGCACAGGTGGTGGAATTGCACGTGCTGATTGCTCGGCGCATTGGTTGCGCATTCCCCCAGTAGCGACTTGATTTGGCCTAATTGGGCCTCAGCACAGAGTATGGATTTGGTAGGTCGATGTACTAGTTTATAGGATGGGGGAACCGTGAACCATGACTCAAGCATCTTGCAACTCACATGATTGTGTCAATAGTGGGAAGTCATTTATTGTCATAAGTGTGCAGTATGTTTATCCTTTAAATACTGCAACTGCCTGCGCATGAACTATCCGTGTCTCCGATGAAGGATACGCGACGTATTTCGAAAGTTCAAGCGAATGATTATATCTGCTTCTACTCGAGTTCTTATTGACTCTTGAATTCATGTTCACAGATTGGCAAAACAGGCTCAAATCATCTTCTATCCAAAATAATATACAACGAGCATTGATTTTTACCCCCATAAGTCACTCAAAAGGAGACATTGCTTCAAAATTTTCCCCGAAAAGATTCCGCATCTGCGTAAGTTTAGTTTCTATCAAAGCTTGAAAGGAAATAGCACATTTTCGAGTAATTGTAATTGCTGTTTCGACAGTTCGAATGACACAAGCGGGTAATCCAATCTAAGAAAGTGAATACTTGTTGTTTGAAAACTGTTCAGACGTGTTGTATTTGCATTTCCAGTACAGCAGACCGTGGAACGCTACTTTCTACAAGCCCTTTGAGCACCACGTGTAAAAATTCGGGTTTATTATAATTATTGTAGAAAATACTGCCTACGTTTTATACAGTGGTGTATTTTGCTGATTGATTAAGGCTCATGTATCGATTAACCGGTTGGTATTTGTTTCGAAGTAGATTGTCTCACAAGTATTTAACCTTAAGGATCACCTATGCATTGCATATTTGTCACACAAATATTGAATATTGACTACGCAAAATTATAGTAAAAGAGGCGTTAAAGGCAGTTGAGGCCCCTATTCCTCCTAGACACATGCTTTTATCGGCTTCGTTCAGCAACACTGTCACTGTTTGCTGCTCAAACCCGAGTGATTCATTTTGTGTTTAAATTGCTCCCCAAACGTAGGATCGTAAACACACAGCACTACCAAAAACTAGCTAGCAAATTCACCCAGGTATACGTCAATGTTTCTATAAGTATCCTAATCGTGTCCTCTAGAACTACATAGTGTTCGTACATCGAACTTGGGCCTTATTCATCTGGACTGTGCAATTCATTACCAGGCAATCCACTTACCGCCCGTCAGAAATACCTGAATAAGTGGCCAAATTAGGAAACCTAAATGAACTCTGCATTTATTTGAAGTACACTCGCATATTACGGCCAGCTATTGCAAATTGCTAGCGCTTACATACTTCCAAGTAATCCTCAAAACATTCTTTCCAAGTAGTATACAACCCCGTAAGTACTGCTGGGTAGATGCTAAGGACTGTTGCACATGCAATAAAGAGCCTTGACTAGTTGAAATTTTTAAACTGAAAGAAGACGTAATTAATTTGCACGCCCAATCCAAGTTTATGTGCAGTTTTCGTTTAAACCCAGAGAGAGAGCCCCTACATTATTGCAAGAAGAACTCAACTACATTTTTAACTGGATGTTTCATTTTCTACTTTCCCCTGATGTTTGTCTCTGTCAGCATAATACATACCTAGCGAAATTTTACAAGCATTTATTTAGATTTTTACTGCCTTTTTCTGGCACTGAACACAACATCTCTTTAGGTAGGCATAAGCCCACAACAACCTCAGCGAACCGCCAATCGTAAGCGCTCTGGCACTGGGCAACGTTGGGGTAGGAGCTGTTGTTACATTTGGGAAGTTTCTAGGAGTTGACATCTCCCTTAGCTATGCCTTTATCACGCATTGTTTGGTTCGTTGCCATGGCGCCGTTTGCTTTATGCCTCGTCTTTGCAACTGCCTGCTCAAGCCTGCATGAGCTTAGCTGAGCTTGCGAAAAATAGGACATCAGTTCCTATATCTTCGAACACGTCTGCTATGCTGATAAGCAACAACAATAAATATCATTTAGGCATGAAAAACGGCGTTTTAGCAGCGAAGCATGAATAAACGCCGCAGAGCGTTAATAAACTGCGGCGTGGAGCTAAAGCGTTCTGAGTTCTTGTATAGACTTTGCTTGGGCCATCGTTGAGTTAGCATCTGATGCTACAGTCATGAAACAGTAACTGATCCCTAATAGCAAAATTCGCTCATTCGAGACTCGTTTTTTTAGTTGACCTTCGTTGAGTTGCTTCGAGAAATTGGATTGGTTGACAGATTACTCGATGACGCGTTTTCTAGCTCAAAAGTCCTTATTGCACAGTTATTGGAAAAAATCGATCCTGCTGTGTGATGAGCGGCCGGAATACCAAATTTTTTGTACACCTATTTTTAAGTAATTTTTTATACAATCAAGTGTTCCGTTACTTAAAAAATGACTTCAGAAAAGTGCTACGCGATATATCGTATAATGGGGTGCTTTTTTAAGAAGCAAGGTGACCTGAGGTCCAAATGAAATTTAAGATACGAATCTCCTGTACGAATGGCATTGTAGTGTTGCTCAGCATATAAGATTATATTCCCGATATCGTAGATATACCGATTTCCAATGCGCATCTTCTTGGTCGTCCGAAAAATTACACAAGCTGAAGATCCTTGATTTAATTTCGCCGTATTATCGCAGGTGTTAAGTTAATGGGTAAAACCCTTACCGTTTGGTAAGATAAAAAGTGGGATGCCGAGTGGTAGGAATAGTTTCTTCTGTGTAGAATGAGTGGAGCATAGGAAGGAGGCAGTTGATTCTCGGACGAGCGGGGAAGAATCCGAAGTATTCGAGTCTGGCACTCACCTCAGCGTCCATAAAGTAGCCTTCATGTAAGTCTGCATTGAGAGGTGATTGGCCAGACAGATTAGGGTCAGCCTACGAGTGCGCGACTGCAATTGGCGCTGTGCGAGGCAAGCGTTCGCGCTGAATTTGCGGCACCTGTGATTGGCCGTCCCAGTGGAAAATCGAGACTGAAATCACGTGAGCGTCCGCGCGGAGTGGGATCACTACAGTAATTTAACTAAAAATGCCTTTTTTCTGTATGCAAGTTGTATCTTATTCCAAAAACAGATAATGGTTTAGATTCAGTACCCACCTACTTCCGAGCGTAGCCTACTGTCACACTTGGTGTAGGGGATTTCCAAACTATATACGTTTCTTTTGAGGGAAATCACTCGGTTCCCTATGTTAGGACGGCCTAACGAACAGCCTTAGCAAGCAGTATCTTGCAAGATATAGCCGAACTTCAAACAGGCTATCGATCGACCTACACGGGCGGACGTACACAAGCCGTCAATCGATCGATAATTCAGAATTTAAACTGCAGTCATCTACTGAGCCAACAACCAATGGAACCGGCCACTATTTCAGAAGAGAATCTGATTGGTTCGTTGACCCATCTTACACACGTTCGTTTCCTTAAATTTGTTGTACCTCTAACACTCAAAGACTTCTGACTCCCGCTTTCTGCACACTTCTTGTCGTGTTCTCTCTTTGGGGGCTCACATGAGGCGTAGTTAGACGGTGAATATTTTGGCCTGGGCGTCCGTTACAACAATTTGGCGAGGTGATATCTCGGCCTGGGCCTCCGTTACAACACCCTATGCGTCTCAGACAGTGTTAAGTCTTACAATAGATATCAATTTAGTTGTATGCTTGAAAGCAGCAAAAATAAAGAATAGAAAAAATATTAGTCGGTCGTTGAGCGCCGGCCTCCTCCACCATAGTTGTTAATCGTGCCGTCTGCGGTTGACAAGACTACGAACCCGTTATTCAATGTTAGAGCTTTCGACAAGTTAACGCTCAATGACGTAGAAACCCGGATTTGACTTCAGCTCCCGCGAATGTGGGTTTAGCCGATTGCACCTAGCAATCCAGAAGTGATTATACCCGTTTACCTTATGTATGTCGGCACCGGGTTATTTGTGTATTATCAGGAAACTGTGATTCTTTGTGCCGTTGCATCCTGGGCCCTCTATGGTTACGCGTACGTGCGATCAAAACCATCGGGGAAATGCATCCATGAAACAGCCATGAAACAGCCTTGCAGGTAAATGAGACGCGCTCAGTAAGTAAAGGAATGTGACAAAACTTGGAAAACAGAGCCGACGAAGAGCCCGACCGTTCTAAAATTCCATCACA